AGAGAGAGAGAGAGAGAGAGAGAGAGAGAGAGAGAGAGAGAGAGAGAGAGAGAGAGAGAGAGAGAGAAATATTGTAAGAAATCACATTTTTTTTGAAAGAGAAAAAAAATAATAGTAGAAAAGAAAATAAAAACTTCGGTGAGAAGCAAATTGGAAATTTCGTTTTCCATCCGAAACAGATTCGTTTTGATTGGTTTTAGATTAATTTTTTAATCCATTATTCTGCCAGTGAGTTGTTCAAAAAAAATAAAAAAATATCATTGAAAAAGAAAACGAAGAATTTTTCATGAATCATATATGGATATTAAACAAGTAATGAATCGTTTTACATTAATTACACGTGTATTAATTGTATCAATTATGCAGATCACATATGATTCATGAAGTTAGAGACAGGTGCAAAATTTGAATGGTAATTTCATCGGAAATTTTAAATTTCAGTGAAAAATGTCTGATGAAAGTGATAATTATTAAAAAAAAGTATAGGAAATTTTCAGCAAACCAACACGACGAATAAATTAATGCGTCCAAATAGGTTCTTTTAATCCAAAAATGATATTGCTCGAGAATTGCGAAACGATTTGAAAAATTGTTCACTTTTTTCAAACGAAGCACGAACACTTGCAAATGAATGTGTAAAATAGATGAACATTTACAGAACTCCTCCTAGTACAATCGTTTTACGAAGAAAAAAGTTGAAGAAGAAAAAATAAATTTACCCGCTGCATGTACATAAACCGAGAGATCGCTGGTAGCCATATTGTTATTCGCGATTAATTGGATGACTTGGTCGAGTCGACTGATGTTCTTTCTCTTCTTTACTTTCTCTCACTGAACACGCTAAGGATTGGCATAATCCCCATAAAATATTCGAGAAATTCTTTAGCATTTTGTACATTAATTTATTTCTCTTCCGATTATCATAATTTTTAAATATATATATACATTCGAATGAAATTCGAAGTTATGAGATATAGATATAATTTATTCCTCTTGTAAAATATAGATTTGTATTTTAATTGTTATCTATTATTTACTCGGTATCGATACCGATTTATTATAAATATTGATTTTATTGTTATATATTATATATATATATATATAAATATATATAGACGTTTAACAACATGTGTTATGACAAATAATTTTTTTTTTTAAATTAAATTATACAAGAATGTACAGATCTCTAATTTCGATTTGTGAATTCTTGTAAATTGTTATAAGGGAAGTAGAAGATAAATGATATTGAGATAGTGTCACAATTAGATCAGAAGTGAGAGAAAGAGAAAGAGGGAGAGCCCTCTGTCTGTTGTATATTATTTTTATTTCCACCTTTTTTACACGAAACAAAGCGAGATCGGTATTGACCGTGCTATGTATGGATGATATGTTCCAATATAGAATAAATCTTTCAACAAATACTCGATTCTTAATAAATTCCTTTCATTTTTGTGAATCGCATTAATAAGTAATCTCTGTTATATTCATTCTATTCTTTTCTAAAAGATTTTCAATATAAAATATATTAATAAATAAAACAATAAATTTAAATGATTTAAATGATTAAATCTTTAGTTTAAACGATTTAGAGATGATAACAAATTTCTTCCAAAAATATTTTGAGGTGATTTCACATTTCTTTTGTACTTACATCTATCTATGGAGCATGAATGGATTATATATCTGTCTAAAGTAGATTTTGTATACTCTACTGCTATACTATATTCGATTTTAAGGTACGTTTATAATAACTTGATCAAGAATCTATACTTGATATATGCTTTTTACAAAATTCAATCTATTAAAAATATTAATTGATCAACTATGATTAGTAATTCTATAATTATTAATAATTATAAAGAATAATAGGGAGGAAAATAGGAAGAAGTAATAAATATGATACTTTTTTTATTTTTTTTTTTCTTTCATTTGATCGAAAAATTTATTTTAGACTCGTCTACGACGAGATGAATCACACAGAATTAGGATTACATACATGATTAAAACATATCTTTTATATACATCTTTTATGTAGCTTTTATCCATGGAATTTTAGGCTGACACTGTGGTCAACTTTTCTTCTCCATGATTTTTATTTAGCAGGCGCACTTTTTCATACACACGCATGTATACACTGTGAAATAAAATCCTCCCTTCAACTATACATCGATCAGCAAGTCGAATCATCGGAAGTAGTGAAGAAAATAATTCACTTGAAACATAGATACGACTTTGATTAGTGAAATATTAATAATATTGAATTTTTAATATTGAATATTAGATTGAATTTAAATCATTCTATAAAATGCATTCATCGACAAGATCATAAATCTACAGATTCTGATCATCTTTTGTTTAAGATTCAGTTAATATGTTGAACGATGTATAGAATATTCATACCACAAAGTAAACCACGATAAAATAATACTGATCTTTCATGGTTTTTCATCGTGGTCACTAGATAAGATGATTAAAATCTTATGGCACGAAATATAACTGTGGCATTAAATACCATCACAAGTATCCAAATATTTTTTTGTTTATTCTTTTTCTTTCAAAGAATTCTGCATTACCTGCAATCATTACAAAAGAATGATCGATAAATATTATTAAAACATTTTAGATTTAGATGTTTGATTGTTTAATCTAAACAGTTAAGTATCTTACAAATTAAATGAACTCACCAAACATTACACTTTTGAATTGGATTCATTGGTGAGCCTGGAGGACAATCATAGGCCCTGGCAAAGTCTTCGCTATTGGATAAAGGACCCAGAACTCTTATTGGGCCTGGTGAATGAACGCTACTTCGTATTTTTGTCAATGCATCTTCTGGTCTCATGGATCCACACCATATTTGAGCGTAGTTTAAAAAGAATAGCTGATCATGAGTGAGATTTACACCAGGAAGTAATGGTTCTTCGCCATGTATCGACACCCATTTCTTATATGCCTAAACAATAACGATTTCCGTAATTGACAATATATCTCAAGGTAAGATTGATGATCGTTCATTGCAAACATTAAATACATAATATTACCCGAAATGATTGTTTGAGTCCTCCGTTATCAGCAATATTCTCTCCTTGAGTCATCTTTCCATTGATGTACAAATCAACCTCTTGCAATTTGTACCTTGAGTATTGATCCACGATACATTGAGCCCTTTCCCTAAAAGCTTTTACAGTGGCATTGTTCCACCATTGCATCATGTTTCCATCCTTATCAAACTGACGTCCTTTGTCATCAAAACCGTGAGTAATCTCATGGCCAATCACCACACCTATTCCACCATAGTTCAACGACTTTGGAAAGTGCTGGGAATAGAAGAGTGGCTGAAGGATTCCAGCTGGAAAAACTAAAATAAAGTAAAAATATTAATATAGGAAATTAAAATTCAATTCAATTTGAACACAAGATTAAATTTACCAATGTCATTTTTATTGGGATTGTAGAAGGCATTCACCACAGCTGGTTCTGTTGACCATTTATCCTTATCAACCGGTTTTCGCAGCTTCTCCAAATTGTGATAAGCGTCGTATCTCAACACAGCTAGCACGTTCTCAAGGAAATGATTCTCGGTAATATTCAACTGTTAATGAAAAACAAAAAAAAGTGAAAATTATTATTATTGAAACTATTATTTGAATTTTTTTTCTTTTGTGACATTATTAAGTACCATTACGTATTCCTTGGAAAGTTCAACAGGATCTTTTAAAAACTCAGGATATCCAATTCTTTCGTTCATTGAGTTAGCTTTGTTCTTGGCCACGGCTCTAGTTTCATTATCCATCCAATGATTTTCGGCCAGCAACTCGTTAAACGCCTCTCGTATCGTACGAATCATCTCGAGTGCCGTCTCCTGAAAAACAAATCGTGTCCTCCAGAATTATCAAAAACCAGCAAGTAAGTTTCCATAAATTTTCCTTTTCACAAATTATTGCCCATTTTTTATTCATAAATTATCGTTCAATTTTAAACCTATTTATCAATTTATTTCTCTTTATTCAATTATTATGACTTATATATGAAGAATGAATCAATGATGAATAAAAGTCACCTTGCTTTCATGATTGAAGTTGTCACGAATGAAAAGTGCACCCACTGCCATACCAAGCTTTTTGTTCGTCCATTCAACGCATTGAGACCATCTATCCCTCTCACTTAGTATACCCAATAGTATCTTCCGAAATTCGACTCTCTTTTGCTGATATTCGTCTATCATGTGAGGCATTATGGACATGACCAATCTCCACAATATATAATTATGCAACGTTCTGTAAAAATGATATATACTCAGGAAATTGTTACTCTTCTTCTGAAAGATTAAAAAATTGTAAAATATCATAGACTCCAAAAGTCGAGAACGTATTTTTCCATTACCTGCGGTCCGTTCTTTTTACGATACGGCCCATCTGCATGAAATATGGCATGGCGTACGCAACAATGGGCTCTTCTTCCGTTATAGGAGAGTTGATGAATTCTTGAAGATACTCGTGCCACTTCAACTGTGGAATTTCACGCTGCAACTCGCGCAATGTCAACTTCCGATAAATAGCGGACGTATCGTGTCTGTCATCCTCTGGTATCGACACCTGAAATTTTTCATTAATTCATCATTGCTCGATGAATTTTATATCTCCTGAAAATTATTATTAGTTTCGATTAAATTAAATATTTCATAGCCGTACATTTGCCAATTGTTTCTCCAAATTGATCACGCGATTGAATTCCTCGACAGCTGTCTGTCTATTAGCACCCATCAACACAGCAACGTTTGTCATGTAACGATGATACGCGTGTAGTTGAGACTCGCTGCTCTTCTTCAAATAATAGTCTCTACTTGGCAACGCTACTTGCATCTGATCCAGCTGACGAAAATAGTTGAATGGTCATTTTTTTTTTTTTCTTTTCGTTCACTCGTGGATTGAACAAATGATATTATCTTAAATTGGAAATGCAATTGAAATTTTCATACTAGTATTTAGATTATTACAGTAGAATTCCAAGTTCCAACCAACAATTCGTAATAGTTGAGTGATACCCAAAACTGGACACTATTGAAAATTACTTTTAATGTAAACTCATAATATCTGGGAATCGTCGTTTCATCTGATCATCTTTTATATTTTTACATATGATAAGAAAATTTTCGACAAAAGTCTTTCACATGACTGACAAAAATCCTATTATATTCTTTTCAATTTTCAAGAACGTAACATTGAAATCCAATCCAATTATATTGTGCAGTTGTAGACCAAGGGGCCTTACTTTGCCGGCGCACCTGGAGGATATTGGCTGAGGAGTTCTTGTCATCTGGACCGACCCATTGTTCCAACAACACTCCCTCGTTGTACTGTCCTCTTAATCGACCTAGCAAAACCTCGACGGAATATGGAGGTGGCTTCCATGATGGGCCAACCACTACTGGCCAACCGCCAAGAAACTCCAATGTCTTTCTCAATGGTACATCTCCTATCTCCCTTATACGAGCTGTAAAAACAAATAAACAGAGAACACTTTTTAACCTCAAAACTTCATTTTTCCTTCTTTTCTTTTTTTTTTTTTTGTCTCAGCCGAAATCAAAAATGACACGTGATAAGATTTTTCGAGAAGATGCAAGTTCGAAAAGAATTTTCGTTGTACCCACGGATGTCCATGCAAGAATTGTAGAACATCTTCGCTTTCAAGGTG